GGGGAGGGTGTCCACCAAGAGCCAAGCAGTATAAAAAACAGCTGATTTATCTAAACTGAATTTCATCTTATCTAATGCTTATGAAGACAGGTATATTTTTCTCTGCATACTGAAGAAAGAAACTGAGATTCACAGGTTTTATTGAGCTTGGCAAAGACTTACACTGTTGAGACTGAAACACACCATCAACATCTGGGCTCTCTCCACTGCCCAAGCGAGATGCTGACAGTGTAGTGTCACTTCTACGTGTATGGAAGAAAGAGACTTCTTATTCAGAATGCAGTGACTCATGTGGAGGCAAAAAGGTTTCTGGGAAGATAAGATCCCTGTCTTTAAGAAGCCACAAGCCTAAAGGTGAAGATACAGAAGTACAGACAATTCCAATTTCTTACTGTTTTCACAGAGGTATGAACTGGTGTCACGGAAGCTGGGGAAGATTGCTGGAGGATGAGGAAAGGCTTCATTCATGCAGAACCACTAATCAGGTAGAAGCTAGTCAGGTGTTGGAAAGAAGTCATTCTAGGCACATTTAGGACGCTAAAAGTAAAATGTGACTATGGAAGGAGGTAAGAACTGAGATTAGAGAGCTGGGTTTAGCCTGTCTCTTGGAGGAGAAGCTGCTTATAAGTATAAAATGCAATGATGATGTGTCTGTCAACTTTCTGTATCAGAACTACAGCACTCCGAAAAAAGAGACTGAGAAGGATATAAGAAAATGGAAAGATGTCCCCTATTCCTGGGTAGGAAGAATCAACATAGTGAAAATGGCCATACTACCAAAACTGCTATACAGATTCATTGCAATCCCAATTGAAATCCCAACACTATACTTCACAGAACTAGAAAGAAGAATCCAAAAATTCATCTGGAACCATAAGAGACCTAGAACAGCAAAAGCCATCCTAGGCAACAGACACATGGCAGAGGGAGTAACATTCCCAATTTGAAACTATACTACAAAGCCACTGTGATAAAAACAGCATGGTACTGGCAAAGAAACAGACCTGAGGATCAGTGGAACAGATTGGAAGACACAAAAACAACTCCAGCTGCACTCAGCTACCTCATCTTTGACAAAGGAGCTGATAGTCCCCACTGGAGGAAAGATAGCCTCTTTATTAAATGGTTTTGGAAAACTGGATCTCAACCTGCCAAAGATTAAAACTAGACCCTTCTCTGTCACCATGCACTAAATTAAAGTCCAAGTGGATTAAAGATCTAAATATAAAAACAAAAACACTAAACTTGCTGGAAGATAAGTTAGGCAGAACTTTAGAAGAAACTGGCATAGGAAAAGACTTTATGAACAAATCCTTAGTAACATGGGAACTAGCAGAACCAGCAACTGGAATCTCATCTTATTAAAAAGCTTCTGCACTGCAAAAGAAACCATCAACAGAACTAAGAGACAGCCTACAATGTGGGAAAAACTTTTTACCAGCTGCTCCTCAGACAAAGGACTATTATCTAGAATATATAAAGAACTCAAAACAGTCAGCCCCCCAAATATAAAGACCCCATTCAAAAATGGGCATCTGAAATGAACAGACATTTCTCAGACAAAGAAGTCAAAGCAGCAAGTAAATATATGAAAAAATGTTCCACATCACTGATCATTCGAGAGATGCAGATGAAAACAACACTGAGATTTCACCTCACCCCACAAAGAATGGCTGCTATCAAGAAATCACACAATAACAAATGTTGGCGTGATGGTGGGGAGAAAGGAATGCTTCTCCATTGTTGGTGGGAGTGCAGACTGGTACAACCACTATGGAAGTCAATATGGAGATACCTCAAAGAACTAGGATTAGAGGTTCCATTTGACCCAGCCATCCCTCTGTTGGGTATCTTTCCAAAAGAATTAAAAGAATCATACCACAGTGATATATGCGTACCCATGTTTATAGCGGCACAGTTTGTAATAGCTAAAACTTGGAAACAGCCCATTTGCCATCAGTTGGAAACTGGATAAAGAAGATGTGGGTTTTTTTTTCCAGCTTTAATTGAGTTTATTGGTACATTTTAGGGATACAGTACAGTTACAGTTACATTCATTGTTGGGATCTTGTACCTCTACATGACAAGTCTTGGTTCTCATTTTTTCCCCTTGTCCCTGCCCTCCCTTCACCCCCTCCTCCCCTCCCCATCTACAAATACTTTATTTCCATCTTTTCATTATCTCACATTTTTTTCTTTTCCCTTATTAGCCTTCCCCTACCCATCCCACCTTCCCTACACCTTTAGCTCCTTTCTTCCCATTTCTAAATGTCAGTAATCTTATTAGAATCTTCTGTATTATTGCAGATTATTCACACCAGAAGGAAGATGTAGTTTTTCTATAAAATGGAATACTACTCAGCCATAAAGAATAAGAAAGTAGATTCATTCATAGGTAAATGGGTACATTTTGAGGATATACTCCTAAGTGAAATAAATAAGTCACACATATGCAAGTACCGAATAGTTTCTCTGGTGTGAAAAACTAAAATAGTGCTCAAGATCCTAACGGGACAATTAGCAATGTGAAATAGGAAGAAAAGGACCAAAGGTGTAGGGACAGTGAGAAGGATAGGGAAAGGGGAACGAGGGAAAAGGAAAAAAATATGAGAAAATGTAAAACTGGAATTAAAGTGTATGAAGGTGGGGAGGGAGGGAGGGGGTGAAGGGAGGGCGGAGACAAGGGGAAAAAATGAGAACCAAGACCTGGCATGTAAAGGTACAAGATCCCAGTCATGAATGTAACTGTACTGTCTACCTAGAATGTACCAATAAATTCAATTTAAATAAAAAAAAATTTTCTGTATCAGGATGACTTAGCACTAGGCCAAATTTTAAATAATACAAATTTTAAAATTGTGTGGACAGTGATTGGGAGAGGAGCTGTAATTGGTACAGCAAAACAGAATTATAAAAGTGTAGAATTTTTCCTTTAGAGACAAATGGCTTTTCCAAACTTCCACAGACCTAGAGCCTAAATGCCATCCCTTCCCCGCCTTGGTCCCAGTGAATGGGCAGAATATTCAGAAGCCAGGCCCAGGAGGACTAGGCCATTTCCTTCCCTCAGGAAAGGAAGAAGACTGAAGATGGATGGAAGCATAAGGCAAGCCTGGAGATGTCCACTGTTTCATTTGTACGTTTACATCTTTGTTCCTTACTATAGAAAAGACACTTGCATACCTGAACCAGGTGAGATGATGATTTGAGGCAAATGAGGCCCCTTCATGTCCTTGGAACTAGCTTTGAATAAAGTCTTTTTTCCTTTTCACCAAAAATTAATGGTTCCCTTTAGTTTGGTCAATGGTGAGCAAACAACATAAGCATTTGTACTTAAGTGACTGGTAACAGCAATGGGATTGAATCAGGGTGTCATACATGCTAAGCAAGCGCTCTACCAATGTGCTGCACCCCCAACTCATTTTATTTTTTATTTTAGACAGGTCTCATGAAGTTGCCCAGGTTAGTCTCAAACTTATAATCCTCTTGCTTCAGCCTCTCAAGTAGCAGGAATTACATGCATGTAATACCATACCTGACTGGTGTTACTAATTATTTTAAAATGACATTCTCTTGTACATCCACAGAGAATATTATGACTAGCTAGAATCTTTCTTTCCTTCCTTCTTTCTCTCTCTCTCTCTCTTTTTTTTTTTCCAGTACCATGGATTGAACTCAGGACCCTGAATTTGCAGCAGGTGTGGTGCTACTGAGCTAAATCTCCCGCCCTAAGAATGTATTTTTCTACTGAAACATTATACCTACTCTCTTGTATTAGCCACAGACCCCAATACAGTCAAGTTCAGGCATACTCAAGACCATGGCCAAAAAAAGGACTGTCATCTTTTGACTCTCTTGGAGAGAATAAACGTACAGAGCTTAAAGGTTAGCAAAGAGAAAGTCAATCACTTAGAGGTAAATGGTGAGAAAGTCAATTTTGTCTTTGGCCTGTTAGATGAGGGCATTAATACATTAGAATGGTTTTCAGGGAATGGAAAAGTAGCAAAACAAAACATTAAAAAAAATTAAAAGAAAAGAAAGAAAAAAAGAAAAATAAGTAGAATGCTCCATAGCAAGTCCTACATGCTTGAATAAACAATGACATAGACCCAATCTATACCTTTAAAAATTGTTATCTAAAGGACCAGTGATTTAGGTCAGTAGTGCCACTGCCTGCCGTGCAAATGCAAGGACCTGAGTTCGATTCTCGGTACAAAAAACAAACAAAATTACTATCTTTAAGTATCCATTCCTCCAGTCGACTAGAAATAGCATTTCTTTGGAGAGAACAGGGAAGGAGTAGAAAGGAAGGGGATATAAAAAGAATTAAGATGTGTTATGTACACATACTAACTTCCCCATGATGCATATAATCATTATGTACTACAAACATGTACTAATAAAAGTTTTAAAATATCACTTCCTTTGATAATTTTTAAGCCAGGATCATAGTGCGTAGCAGTTGGAGGTTGGGAGTACCAGCACAGAGGGTTTTGAATGATAGTAAATAACTGCAAAAAAGAAACAAGTGTGACAACAGCTTTACATTAAACTAAAGCTTTTAAACAACATTTATAATAGGGCCGGGGATTTAGCTGAGTGGTTCCGCCACCTGCTTTCCAAGCACAAGGATCCAAGTTTGATCCCCAGTACCAAAAAACAAACAAGCAAAAAACACTTATAATAATTCAAGAACAACAGCTAGAGTAGTAAGATTTTTAGGGAAAATAAAAATAAAAGAATGTGAATGAAGAGATAAATGCCTTTGAGAAAGATGACTCTTAGTGTTGTCTATTCATGTACTAGAATTAGATTAATGAGCCTTGAAAAAACATGTTTTAGTTCAAAAAATAAGAATACAATCAAAATAGACATGCTTGTTCAAGGTACAATGTACAATTCCACAAGAAAAACAGCATTTTTCAATTAAATCCACTTCTTTTATCTTAACAGATAAGAAAACTATCTTTGAAAGTGAAAGATTTAATTTTAAAACATTTTACCTGATTTAAGTAATTGAGGCACTTTTCAAGACACCAAAGGCAACAAATACATGATTTCAGCACACATCGTGCACAAGCATTTTCCTGGATGGGGGATAAAAGTGAAATAAATAAAAACCAGAAAGTCAAACCATCACATGGAATAATTCAAATGTTTAAAAAATAAATAAAAATGTAAGAAGTCACAACTTATGCATTAAAACTTCCACCCCCACCCTTTCCTTTCTTAAAACATAATGGCTGAATTATCTTTAAGCAGTTTGAGTCATCATTCAGTACCTATTGCATATAAAATATGGTGAGGTATATAAAACCAGCAAGGAAAATATAATTTAGTACAAGACAAAAATACTAAACACAAAAAAAGGTTAGAATCAGAATATAGTACAAACACTAACTGTTAAGAGTGGCGAACAGAGAAAGATAATGTTGCTTGGCAGATGGAAGGAATCAGGAAATATTTCTAGAAAACTTGACTTTCTGAGCTACACTATAGCATTTCAGCTAACCTATACTGAAATGCATATTATTTTCACAGTCAAGGATAGGGAAAATCCTTATGTATTCTCGGTATTAACCCCTTGTCAGAGGCATAGTTTGTAAATATTTTCTCTCTTTTTATAGGCTGTCTCTTCAATCTCGATTACTTCTTTTGCTGTATTGAAGCTTTTCAGTTTGATGTAATCCCTTTCTGCCCCTTATTGCCTGTACTTTTGCGGCCTTATCTAAAAAATCTTTGTCTAGGCTACTGTCACAGGGCTCTTCTCTTATTTTCTTCTAGCACAGTTGTTTAGTGGGTATAAAATTACTGTTGGACAAAAGGACTAAGTTCTGGTGTTCTGTTACACAGGAGGGACACTATGGTTAACGATACCGTAGTAGATATTTTCAAAGTAGCTAAAGGAGAGGAATTTGAAAGTTCTTACCACAAAATGATAAATATATGAGGTGTGGTAATGTGAAATATTCTGATTTTATTATTGCACAATTATTATGTGTCAATAAAAAACATTTAAAGAAGAATATGGAAGAAGTTCTAAGAGGAAGAGGTGTGTTATGGTTGGGGTCTAGAATGTTCCCCCAAAAGATGATTGCATTGAAGGCTGGGTTGCCAAGTGAAGGATTAACCCATTGATGAGTTAGTACACAGCTGAACAGGTATTAGGAGGTCAGGCCTAGTGAAGGAAGCGGGTCAAGGGGTGTAACTTTATGAACTATATCTTATCTCTGACTCTCACTCTGTTTGCTTCCTGGCTGCCATGAGACAAGTAGCTTCCTACTGCCCTACTCTTTTGCCATGATGTTTCTGCCTCAGCACAGGCCTAAAAGCAATGAAGTGACATCTTTGACACTGTGAGCCAGTATAAAACATTCCTTCTTTGTTTTTCTCAGTTATTTTGTCACAGTGACATAAAGCTGATTAATCTCAATGTGTGAGTCAATTTGAGAGAAACAAAGAGTACTCTTGGGTGACCAGTGATTAGATGAATTCTGGCAGAGCATATGGAGTGTGTGAGTGGGAGGTCACAAGGAAGGACTGCATTCTAGGTTTTCTTCTTATGACTGTGGAGAAGACACCCACAACTTTGCATTTAACATCACCGGGCACTTTGCTACATGAAGAACTGAGGTCTGGAATATACCCATATAGAGTCCAGAAAAAGCATTTTTCCCTTACCTTTCCTTTGAGCTGACTGTGAATGTACATAAGGATCATTCGTGGAATTTTTACTAACGTGATAATAAAAGATCCTTTTGCCACAGTACCAAGGTGATAACGAATAAGGCGATTCACTGATGCCAAAATGGGTGTAAATGGCAAATTCCTTTTATCCCTATTTTTAAAATGATCAAAAACATAATTAAAATAAAGCATAAACTAGAATGGATACAGAATTATGTTTTAGAGTCCAATTCAGTGAAAAGTCAGTTTATTAATCTTATTCTAGTTTTATGACAAAATAGCAATGTAATATACAACTAATATGTTGCAGATGTACTACACAAAATTAATGTCTCATTTCTCTAAGGTAGTTTCATAGGGTGTTTATGCTCTATTACTTTAAATTAATTAGGACTGTTTTGAAAGCTCACATCAAGGAGTACCTAAGGAGTTAACTATGTAATCTGAGAACAGAATTTAAAAGACATTTAATCTAGAACTGGCACCTCATTATAACAGAAAACTAGGTAGTCTACAGCTTTAATATTCAGCTCTAAAGTTAGCAAAGAGTCACAACACTTCTTCTGATCCAAATGAATTAAAAAGACTTGTCTTTTAATGGATGTTTTTACAAAGCAAAAATACACAGGTACTACTACAAGATTTAGTTTTCTGTTAAATACAACTTGAAGTTACATCATAACCTGCTGTTCTGAAAAAATCTGAGACAATTACGAAAAGTATAGAGAATAACAACCTCCCACTTTCCTACTTCCCAGAATTATCAACTGTAATATTTTATTATGTTCATTTACAACTATAATTTTAAAGAAATGAAACTCTTACCAACCTCAGCCCCATTCACTGAATTTTCTGAAAAGTACAAACTCTCACCTAGTGAAGTAGTATGTTACTACAGCTCCGGCCACAGTCATCTGCTGACATGCTAGAATAAATTCACTGATCCAAATTAGGCCAACCACATGGTACAACCACATATACTGTAAAGGACCAGAAATTCTAAACTCCACAAAGCCTTCATCATTCTTAACAGCACTGCCTAGGAAAACATCAAGGAAGGAAAAAAGCAGCACATGAAGTACAAACAAAGAAATGTAACTGTTAAACATGAGGCTAATTCAATCTTCAACAACAGATCTCTGTTCGCAAACCACAAATTTCACACCATTAATGCTATTTCATTAAGGTACAAATATTTTTTTTAAAGTTGTGAAACTAAACATTACACAATTATGCATTTTGGTTTCCTCAAAAGCACCATTTAAAGCTTTTAAAAGTTGCTCTATTTGGATATAGTTTTTATTACATTATTAGTTATTTAGACAAAATTCTGAAACATTTCAATATTTTTAGAGCTATTATTCATTCAGTAATTATAGATCTTAATAAACTGCAAGGACAGAAATTAACATTATATTCATTTGGTGAGTGTGTGCTTAATGGAGAAAAAAGTTGCATATAAGCTGAATATCCTAGTACTCCTCAATTAATTTCATTTTGGCTTAATCTTTAATATTGAGCATGGCCACCAGCAAGTTGGAGACTCTATGAACTATGTTATCTGCAGGGGTCGTAGCTAGATGTAGGTTATATCCAAACTAGAAAATCCCAAGGACACAAACATCCTTGGCCATACTGAGTTTTGAAGCAACTCTGGAGAGACAATACATTTGTTAGTTCATTTTAGAATGGATCCAAACGTCTGTGTCATGACAAAACTCACTTCACATCTGTGACCATATCAAAATTATGATATAATTTCAGCCCTTATCTGGCCTAGACCCACATTACTAGCATGATGTAAAAATTTTGAACAGGGTGTAGGTTACTGAATAGCTAGTACCACGGCTAGATCTGATAGGTTTTGGACCTTTGTCAAGAAACATGTGAAGATTGACTGATTGAACAATTGATTTTGGGCAGTCTAGGGGTCAAACCCAGAGCCTCATGCATCCTAGGCAAGGAGGTAAGTTAAATCTCCAAGCCTTCTCCGATATGTTAAAATATTTGAGTGCAAATTAGATACAGCACTAAGATAAATAAGCAACATATCTGCTTACCGGTAGTGCCAAGAAAAAGAAGTGTCATGATCCAGTAGGCCCAAAACAAGACAAGAGCAAAGAAGGTCCAAAATGGTTGGAAGACTAACAGTGGCAGGTGAATGAAGACCTTGCCGGCCACATGGAACAGGGCTATTGTGAGAGCAACACGTTTGCGCATAACCAGCATTATCAGGAACAAGATAACCTGAAAGGAGAGAATGGAGGAAAGGGTCAAAGTTACTGTTTTAATCAATAAACAGGAGAACACTATGTTGCCTCTGTCACTTGTTTAGTATGTGTCAAAACTAACATATCTTCACCCTTGGTGTTTTTAATCTTTCTGTATTTTGATCTCACAGTTGTGGTCTAGTTTACTTAATAAGGAAATGGGTGCACACAAAAAAAACCTTTTTCCTTTCATGGTAACATCCATAGACAACCATTAAAAAGGACTAAAGTTTTCTCAGATTTTCCTACATACCTAATCTCTGGTAATTGGATAGTGAATGGTTTTATAGGTCACAAAATATAAATAAGACCTCAAAATTGGAAGTATCAGTCTCAGAATCCCAATAACACAGTAATTTTAATCTCTACCTCTTTTACAGTATTTATCATTTTCAATTATATTATCGTTCTAGGTATTCTTTAAAGACAAACAAAATAATTTCTCAATTTATTAAACCCTAGAATTCCCCATCATTTCCCTTCGTTACTTATTACCAATTAAAATGTGTTATGTGTCAGGATAAGCGCCTTCATTAGAACAGACACATACCTGTCGCTCTGAAAAGGGTGAGAGGACCAAATGCCATCACCCCAAAAGCACAGAAGCTATTTATTTGTGTCTCATCTCCCTCACTGGAACAAGAACTCATTAAAAGTGGGTTCCACAGAAGAATCATTCTTTGCCTCCTTTCTATCCCACAATACACCCAGCATTGAGCACAGAGAATTGCACTTAAAAGTATAACTAACAAATAGTTTTTGGCACCAATACTTTTAAAGTGGCTTTATTTTTTGTTTGTTTGTTTTGGATGCTCAAAAACAGTTTGGGATTGCTTGTAGAAATGGACTGATTTTTGTTTTTCTTCAGAGAGGAAATAATAGGTACAATTGAAGATGAACATAGATTATTTAACTAAATGTTAGTAATTTCACTATAGAACAACGAAGCAACGAACTTCACCTATACTTTTATGGAGTACACAATGTTAAAAGGTAAGTGGAATAAAATGGGAAAATAACCAGTGAATAAGTAAATGGAATGATATAAAAATTTCAACGTATTTTAAGGAGAATTGTTTCTGAAAAAGTAATTCACTATTTTTTGTAATAAGAGCAAATATGATCTTCTTTGTAAATACTACTAATATTTATTTATTTTTAATTAAATTGAATTTATTGGTACATTCTAGGTAGACAGTACAGTTACATTCATGACTGGGATCTTGTACCTTTACATGCCAGGTCTTGGTTCTCATTTTTTCCCCTTGTCCCCACACTCCCTTCACCCCCTCCTCGCCTCCCCACCTTCAAACACTTTAATTCCATTTTTACATTTTCTCATATTTTTTTCCTTTTCCCTTCTTCCCCTTTCCCTATCCTTCTCACTGTCCCTACACCTTTGGTCCTTTTCTTCCTATTTCACATTGCTAATTGTCCCGTTAGGATCTTGAGTACTATTTTAGTTTTTCGCACCAGAGAAACTATTCGTTATTTGCACATGTGTGACATTTATTTCACTTAGAAGTATATCCTCAATATGTACCCATTTACCTATGAATGAATCTACTTTCTCATTCTTTATGGCTGAGTAGTATTCCATTTTATAGAAAAACCACATCTTCTTTATCCAGTTTCCAACGGATGGGCAAATGGGCTATTTCTAAGTTTTAGCTATTACAAACTGTGCCACTATAAGCATGGGTACGCATATATCACTGTGGTATGATTCTTTTAATTCTTTTGGAAAGATACCCAACAGAGGGATGGCTGGGTCAAATGGAACCTCTAATCCTAGTTCTTTGAGGAATCTCCATATTGACTTCCATAGTGGTTGCACCAGTCTGCACTCCCACCAAAAATGGAGAAGCATTCCTTTCTCCCCACAATCACGCCAACATTTGTTATTGTGTGATTTCTTGATAGCAGCCATTCTTTGTGGGGTGAGGTGAAATCTCAGTGTTGTTTTCATCTGCATCTCTCGAATGATCAGTGATGTGGAACATTTTTTCATATATTTACTTGCTGCTTTGACTTCTTTGTCTGAGAAATGTCTGTTCATTTCAGATGCCCATTTTTGAATGGGGTCTTTATATTTGGGGGGGCTGACTGTTTTGAGTTCTTTATATATTCTAGATAATAGTCCTTTGTCTGAGGAGCAGCTGGTAAAAAGTTTTTCCCACATTGTAGGCTGTCTCTTAGTTCTGTTGATGGTTTCTTTTGCAGTGCAGAAGCTTTTTAATAAGATGAGATCCCAGTTGTTGATTCCTTCTGTTAGTTCCCATGCTACTGAGGATTTGTTCATAAGGTCTTTTCCTAAGCAAATGTCTTCTAAAATTCTGCCTAACTTATCTTCCAGCAAGTTTAGTGTTTTTGTTTTTATATTTAGATCTTTAATCCACTTGGACTTTAATTTAGTGCATGGTGACAGAGAAGGGTCTAGTTTTAATCTTTGGCAGGTTGAGTTCCAGTTTTCCAAAACCATTTAATAAAGAGGCTATCTTTCCTCCAGTGGGGACTATCAGCTCCTTTGTCAAAGATGAGGTAGCTGAGTGCAGCTGGAGTTGTTTTTGTGTCTTCCAATCTGTTCCACTGATCCTCAGGTCTGTTTCTTTGCCAGTACCATGCTGTTTTTATCACAGTGGCTTTGTAGTATAGTTTCAAATTGGGAATGTTATTCCCTCTGCCATGTGTCTGTTGCCTAGGATGGCTTTTGCTGTTCTAGGTCTCTTATGGTTCCAGATGAATTTCTGGATTCTTCTTTCTAGTTCTGTGAAGTATAGTGTTGGGATTTCAATTGGGATTGCAATGAATCTGTATAGCAGTTTTGGTAGTATGGCCATTTTCACTATGTTGATTCTTCCTACCCAGGAATAGGGGACATCTTTCCATTTTCTTATATCCTCCTCGATCTCTTTTTTCACAGTGCTGCAGTTTTCAGTGTAAAGGTCTTTTGCTTCTTTTGTTAGATTCCCAGATACTTAATTTTTTTGGGTGCTATTGTGAAAGGATTTGTTTCCCTAATTTCTCGTTCAGTGAGTTTGTGTACAAACAGTGAGTTTGGGTGTTGACCTTGTATCCAGCTATTCTGCCAAAAGTGTCAATTAAGTCAAGAAGTCTTTTGGTGGAGTTTTTTGGGTCTTCAATGTAGAGTATCATATCATCAGCAAATAATGACAGTTCAACTTCTTCCTTTCCTATCTTTATTGCTTTAATTTCTTTCTCTTGTCTAATTTCTATGGCTAATGTTTCCAGAACTATATCGAAGAGGAGTGGTGATAGTGGGCATCCTTGTCTTGTTCCTGATTTTAATGTGAAGGTTTTCAATTTTTGGCCATTTAATATGATGTTGGCTGTTGGATTTTCATAGATAGCCTTTATTAAGTTGAGATATACACCATCTATTCCAATTTTTTGCAGAGTTTTTATCATGAATGGGTGTTGAATTTTTTCAAATGCTTTTTCGGCATGGATTGAGAGGATCATGTGGTTCTTGTCCTTGACTTTGTTAATATAGTGTATTACATTTATTGATTTACATATGTCAAACCATCCTTGCATCCCTGGAATAAATCCAACTTGGTCAGGATGTATGATCTTCTTGATGATCCACTGTATTCAGTTTGCTAGTATCTTATTGAGGATTTTTGTTTCTATATTCATTAAGGAGATTGGCCTGTAGTTCTCTTTTTTAGTTACATCTTTCCCAGGTTTGGGAATCAAAGTGATATTTGCTTCCAGGAATGAATTTGGAAGTATTGCTTCTCTTTCAATTTCATTGAAAAGTCTGAAAAGTAATGGCAGTAGATCTTCTCTAAATGTCTTGTAAAATTCAGCAGTGAATCCATCAGTTCCTGGGCTTGTCATTTTTGGTAAGTTTTTAATTACATTTTAAATTTCACTGATTGTAATTGGGGTGTTTAAAATGTTTTTATCTTCTTCATTCAATTTTGGTAATTCATAAGTATCTAGAAATCTGTCCATTTCTTCTGTGTTTTCCATTTTATTAGAGTACAGGTTCTCATAGTATGTATTAATGATCCTCTGGATTTCTGTGGGATCTGTTGCGACTTTGCCTTTTTCATTCCTGATTGCATGAATCTGAGCCGTTTCTTTCCTTTTTTTGATATGGTTTGCTAAGGGTTTATCAATTTTATTTAGTCTTTCAAAAAACCAACTCTTTGTTTCATTTATTTTTTGTATCGTTTTCTTAGTTTCCTTTGCATTGATTTCTGCTCTAATTTTTTTTTTTTTTTTTTTTTTTTTTTTTTTTGGTACCCTGGATTGAACTCGGGTCCTTGCGCTTACAAGGCAGGAGGCAGAACCACTGAGCTAAATCCCCAGTCCCTGCTCTAATCTTTGTAATTTCCTCTCTTGTTCGAGCTTTGGGTTTTTCTTGGTCTTGTTTTTCTAGGAGTCTAAGAGTCATCGTTAGGTTGTTTATTTGAGCTTGCTCTGTTTTCCTAATGTGGGCATTCAGCGCTATGAATTTTCCACATAGAACTGCTTTTATTGTGTCCCATAGATTCCTGTATGTTGTATTGGCATTTTCGTTTATTTGTAAAAACTGTCTGATTTCTTCTTTGATTTCCTCTGTGATCCATTGATTGTTCAGGAGAGTGTTGTTCAATTTCCATGTGTTTGTGAAGTTCCTACGGTTTCTTATGCTATTGATCTCCAATTTTATTGCACTGTGATCTGATAGTATACAGGGAATAACTTCAATTCTTTTGCATTTATTCAAACCTGTTTTGTGAGATAGTATGTGATCTATCTTGGAGAATGACCCATGTGCAGCTGAAAAGAATGTATATTCTAATTTTGTAGGAAACACTCTATAGACATCTAATAAGTCCATGAGTTCAAAAGCTTGGTTCAGTTCTAGTATTTCATTGTTGATTTTTTGCCTAGATAATCTGTCTATTTGTGATAGTGATGTGTTTAGATACTCCACAACTATTGTATTAGTGGTTATTTGGTTTTTCATGTTACTTAATATTTGTTTTATATAGTTGGGGGCATTTGTATTTGGTGCATGTATGTTTATGATTGTCATCTCTTTGTCTCGAATTGTTCCATTTACAAGGATGTAGTAGCCTTGTCTCTCTTAATCAGTTTTGGTTTGAAATTTGCTTCGTCTGCGAATAGGATTGCTACCCTTGCTTTTTTCTGGGCTCCTGTCGCGTGGAGAATTGTTTTCCATCATTTCACTTCCAGTCTATGGGCTTCTTTTTGCACTAGGTGTGTTTCTTGTATATAACATATTGTTGGATTTTGCTTCTTAATCCATTCTGCCAATCTATTTCTCTTGATTGGTGAATTGAGGCCATTGACAATGATAGTTATAACTGATATGTACTGACTTATTATTGTCACATTATTGTCCTTTTGTTAACTCTCTTTATTTTTTGTCCTCTCCTTTTAGTTTCTTGCCCTGGCTATTTGATTTGCTCTGTTGGGTCTCCTGTTGTTGTGATCTTCGTTGTCTTTTTCTAGGATATTGTTTAACATTCTTAGTAGTGCTGGTTTAGTATTCATGAAGTTTCACAAGCGTTCTTTGTCATGGAAGTATCTTATTTCTCCATTCATTTTGAAAGAGAGTTTTGCAGGATACATCAGTCTTGGTTGTAGGATGTTTTCTTTTAGGACTTGAAAGACCTCACTCCAGGCTCTCCTTGACTTGAGGGCTTGTGTTGAAATGTCTGCTATGATTCTGATGGGCTTCCCTTTGCATGTGATTTGTTTCTTTTCTCTTACTGCTTGTAGTATTTTGTTCTTCCGTTGAGTTTCTGGCATCTTGATTATTAAATGTCTAGGTGTAGATTTTTTTTTTGATAGTGGCTAGTTGCTGTCCTATATGCCTCGCTTATCTGTATGTCTAATTCTTCCCCTGTTTGGGAAGTTTTCTGTCATTAATTCTGTGAACAGCTTTTTTAAGTCATTTGCATTTTCTCCTGGTACTTCATGGATTTCTATCAGTCTTATGTTATTCTTCTTTGCATCATCTTGGAGTTGTTGGATCAATTTGTCATGCTCCCTTACTGTTTTTAATAGACCTCTCTTTTCACGGTCACTGTCTGCGATCCTATCTTCTATATCTGAAATTCTATCTTCGCATATAATTCTGCTTTGTATGCTTTCAATAGAGTTTTTAATCTCCTGGATATCCGTTTGAATCTGTTTAATGGATTCCATTTCTTTCCTATGTTGGGAGTTCATTGTTTCCATTTCTTTCTTATTCTGGGCCTTCATGGCCTCTATTATGTTTCTAAGCTCATCTATTTTTTTGTCAGTTTCTGTTCTGGAGTCTTGAAACATGCCTTTCATTTTGCTCACCATCTCCATGGTTATCTGGGAAATAATTTCTGTTTTAAATTTTTCTAGAGCTTGATTGATCAGTTTTTTTACTTCCTGTACTGTGAGTTCTGAGTATCCTGAAGGTTCACTATCTGATTTTTCATCCTCCTTTGCCCTACTGTTTGCCATTGGTGGACTGGAAGTCTGTCTTTGTGGCTTGCTTAAGTGTTTTCTCATCTTTATTTTTGCTGTTGGGTTGCCCTTGATTCAATCTCTGGGTCATTAAATCTTCCTGATATCATTGTGTCCCAGCCTTTGATTCCCTAATGACTTTTAGGCATTCTCATTTTTATAGCTGAGAAAACAACTCATCAAATCAATCCCTATCTTTTATCCCAATCGATACAATCAGGAATATAATAGGATCATTCACCACCCTTTATAGCCCCCCATGCCCCTGTACAGTGTGTCCAAGGAATGCTCAATCAGGGGATTTGAGAGCCGGGGTGGTGGTGGGGCACTACCCTCCTGGAGCTGGGTCAGAGCCAATCAGAGGCGTGGGCTGGAAGAAGCGTAGCTCCAGAGGAGGCCCGTAGATCGGGCGGCTGCACAGCAGAGAGGGTTCTGGGTCCAAGCCCGGGCGATGTCGCAAACGAAACTCCTAATACTAGTATTTTAGGTGAAAATCTCTCAACTAGCAGACAGGGTGGAACACAATCTTGTATCAAAGGGCATTTGTCAATCAGTGTTTTGTATATTGTGCTACAGAGATTTTATCTAATGGAGATGAAGATTAGACATGTAAAAGCTAGAGATAAGTTTCTGCCCCACTAATGATTTCCTGCAAATAAAAACACAGAACTAAATAATGGTACACCTGAGCCTGTACTCACTGTGAACACGGTAGCTGAAATGGCATAGATGAGGAGAGCCCGGAGACTGTCTTCAGCTATCTGAAGCTGTTCAGGAAGAACTTTTTCTTTTGGTGACCTTCTTTGCTTTGCATACAGCCACCATAGTACACCCGTGCCACCTGGAGAAAAACAAAACAAAACAAAACATAATTGCTTTTGTAATGATTGGCATAAGAAAATATGTAACACAAAATCCTCAATTTTCTTGGTCTTTCATACACATCAATATGGAACTTATGCAGTGATAATCCATTTAGCTGGTAGCTGTAACCTTTTGCCAGTGTAAGGAGCGTGCCAATTATATTATTATCATCTTTTACATTAAGCACTTACAAATTTTTCAGTGTATCAAATAAACTTCCTCCAAAGGAATTTAGTATTGACTTCATGCATCTGAGAGAGCAAGTAACAACAGATACCTCTGGGAGAGTCTACGGCCATATGACCCTGAATGCACCCAATCTCGTCAGATTCCTCTGAGAGTAACTGGTAACTCCAGTGCCTAGCACTGACACAATCATGCAATTGATTACATATCTGTACAATAAAAAAAATTAAGATAAAAAGAGGAGTGCCCCTAAAGGTAGGGAACAAAAACAGAAAATCTGATAGCAGTGGGAGTGAGGGGTAAGCATTTTAATTTTTAATATAGTTTTGGAGAGTTTGAGAACTAGACTGAAGAAGGCAAACCTACCTCAACATAAGAAAACAGAGTTACAGTCACTCATTCAGCAAACATTTTGAATTTCTTTTTTTTTCCCTGTTAAGTTTATTCGTACATTTAAAGCAAACAATATAGTTACATTTATCATTGGGATTGATAAATTGGGACTGATTGTCATTTTGCATTTCTACAAAATCTAAGATCACTTGCACTACTTGTAGAGGTTACAGAGTAATGAGGAAAAAAGCAAATAAATGAACAAATAAAAAAGGAGACAAGTAAAAATATGAAATGTAAGGAAAAAAATCTGGTTGGAGGGATAGTGCTTGTGCCTGGAAAGCACTGCAGTTTTACACACTGGTAAACAAAGCCTTGTTGGGAAGATGATGCTTAAGCAAGAGAATTAGAAGACTACAAGAAAGAGAAAGCAATCTATGAAACTAAGGAAAAAGTATTCTGAGCAAAGTTCTAGGATGCTAAGGTTGGACCATGCCTAGCTTGAGAAAAAGGACACCACTTGGCCACAGCAGTAAGCAAGAGTAAAAATGGTAGCAGATGTGAGTAGAGGGATGGCTGGGAATCACATCATCCTATAAGAGGAAGAGAAATTCAGAGTAGAGTGGCATATGCAGTGGCAAGACAAATGTCAATGGGCCGGGAGTGTAGCTCAGTAAAAAGGACTTGCCTACTATGCACACGGGAAAAGGAAAAAGGAAAAAAAAAAATGCCCCCAAGAACTCGGCTAGTATCTATGCACATCAACTTATCCTTCACCTGTACTGATGCAATGAATAGGTCAAAGGGAACTTTTATATACATCTGCTGGCAAAACACAACCATGAATTTTTCTTTTGCTGAAGATGAGTAAAGAAACCAAAGCAATCAATAGTCTCTTAAAAAGTCTTCTTCCATTTTGAAATCTTCCAAGTACAAGAAAATGGTTCCTGAAACTGGGGATATATTTTTTTTTGGGGGGGATATATTTTTTAGAATGGAAGACAATATGTTTTCAATAAACCAGAATAAAAAGTTATGAGAAAAGCTGAAGTTCAAGGAAAACAGAATGAGATAATATGTTTTTTGGAACAGTCACAGTAGATTCTATTTGTTGAACCTTTAATTGTGCTAAGAAATGTTCTAATCCTTCAAGTTGTGACTTAATTTAATCACAACACTAGTGAGTGGTTATTAGTACCTCTACAAATGACAAAATTGAAATTTAGGAAATTGAGTAACATGCCTAATGTCACATATGTAGTAAGCAGCAGAGTTATGATTGAATCCTAGATTTACTGTAATAACTATCTATCTAAACGTAGACTTGGATACTAAGGTTGTACGCTCAAGTAAAAAGAAAGATAACTGAAAGAGGACTATTATATAAAGCTGAAGAATAAACAATGACCTTAACAAAAACCACTAAATATTCAAAAAAAGAAAAAAAAATCAAAGTTGAAAAAGAAACCTCCTCAAAAGATCAACAATAATTTAAGATACATAATTAGACAAAAATCTTCAAATTAAAAGTCTTTACGAAAAATCACAGGGCTGGGTCTGGGATTTAGCTCCATGTCACTCCACCACTTGCCTTGCAAGTCTAAAGTCCCAAGTTTGATCTCCGGTTCCAAAAAAAAAAAAAAGAAATTCAGAGGGTTGGGCATGTAGTTCAGTGGTGAAGAACATAGGTGAGGCTCTGGGAGCTGGGTTTGACTCTCAGCACCATACACAGAAAAAAAAAAATTGGAGGTAGATCAAACAAATTAGGGGTAAATGAACAAAAGTTACACTCATTTTGATCCTGGATTCTTCTGAAAGTTCAGACCCAAGAGAATACACTGTACATGAATTTTATACCCAGTGATTTCAAAATTTGTATATGAAGGTAAAGACAAACTGAGATAAACAAGAATTGAGACAATACATAACCCAGAAGTCCTTCATCAATAAATTATTTCAATCCTAGTCAATATAAAGAACCAAAGCCAGGGATTTAGCTCAGTGGTGCCCATGCCTGTCTGGCAAATGCAAGGTCCTGAGTTTAATTCCCAGTACCAAAAAAAAAAAGAACCAAAATTAAGAATTCAAAAATGAAGGTTGATGGGAAAAGGACCAACAGTTTTTATTACAACCAGCCCAGAAAAACTTAAAACCAAATGCCAATAAAATTTTGAAACGTTTCAAGATAAAGGTAAACAAATTTTTAAAAAGATAAAGTATGCAGGAAGAGTGTTTCAACTTTAAAAATAATCTAACTATAAACGCTCAGGTTATTTTTTTGTTTTGTTTTGTAACAAATTTTTAAAAAGATAAAGTATGCAGGAAGAGTGTTTCAACTTTAAAAATAATCTAACTATAAACGCTCAGGTTATTTTTTTGTTTTTTGTTTTGTTTTGTTTTTTGAGACAGGGTCTCACTATGTAGTTGAGACTAACCTGGAACTCACTATATAGCCCAGGCTGGTTTCAAACTCACAGAGATCCTCCTACCTCAGCCTCCCGAGAGTTGGGATTACAGGCGTGTGCCACCATGCCCGGCAAGCTCAGGTTATTTAACAAGGCTAAAAAGCGGTGTAAGCAGAAGAGAGTAGGGATAAAAGAAATAAAAGTTTATGCTAAGTTTTAAAAAGTAAGGGATAACGCAATATATGCCATTTTAGCCTTTTATTATCATATAAGTCTAAAAAGTATATTCTGAAAATGTATGTTACCAAGTGTAGATGTAAAAATATTATGCATACTACCTAAGGGTGAAGATAATCAGAAAAAAGTATATATAGCAAAGATAGAGAAAACAAAATAAGAAAGCATACATTTCAGGAAAACATAAAATAGCAAAACCAAACATCAATAAGGATATAAATGTAAATGGAGACAGATTTCATTATTAAATGAATTACATATTCAAGCTAAAGATTTAACTGAATAATATATAATCACATACATATGCATAGTAAAAAGGTCTGGACTTCAAATGCTAACAGTGGGTGAAATAAGGACAGAGAATATAATTATAAAATTCTTAAAATACTCTTTATGGAGAAGATATAGCATATGGAAATAAAAAATTATTTTCTTCTTTGTATTTCTATTTGCTACCATGGAATTAGTGCCATGAAAATAAACAAATAGCTTACCAAGTGAACCCAATATGACCAGAATTGTTAAGATCCACACAAGTATTCTTGATATATACCTGATTATCACCATCAAAATCATGGATAGAACTGCAGGAAAGACAGAGAACATGTAGAATATTATTGAAAACATAAGAGAAATCCTTTGAATTGTTGTTCATGAACAGTGAAATATGTAATTTGTTGCTCTTAACTAGTTCATAACCACAAATTAGTAGGAAATTAAACTGGCTGTTCTTGTATTTTGATTTTGCTACTTGTACGACTTAAATAGATCACTCAAAAAACAAAGGCAACTAATTGTGTAGGTTTATAAATTATAGAAAAGAACACATGCAAATGCAAATGGTGACTCAAAAACAGCACAAGACTGTTGTGGATTCACCACGGGAAAGACATAAGACATGCAAACACACATGCCAGCACACATATTGTAGGGAATGATGTGTCATGTTGGTGATAAATTGTCATATGTAGATTGATATAAGTTAAATTAGTGTTACACTGCTTTGAGTAATGCATGTGTTTCATAAATGGGCCATCTTACTCTGACTATCAGTCTACAAACTAGATGGCATTTTATTTTTATCTGGCATTTTAAAGATTAACTCTAAGGAAGGATCTGACCCTATAATATCCTGAAGCCTACTGAGGTCAAAATTCCTCTAAGCTTATTACTTAAATGATCAAAAAGCTCTTCCTCAAAAATAAGCAAAGCTTATTTTGAGTTTATTAGTCAGCTTCTTTACCTGTTCTAATCCCAGTGTGCTAAAATCACGAATAAAATTCTCAAAAAAAGGGAGCATTTAATCCTTGAATGGGAACTTTATTTCTGAGATAATTTATGAATCTTTATTGATCTAAAGGCCCATTCCACAAGCAAATGAGCAAGTATACTAAGGTTCACATTATAGTCTCAAGCCTCAAGAGGATAGTTTTAATAAAAAATGAAATTCCAATGGCTTCACAACATAATTATCTTATTAAAATCATTGTTTTTAAGGTTCAGACATTATGTCTGGTTAAAATGTTCATTTATTTCAGAAACCAAGTAATTTTATATAAAGTTAAGTTTCTTTGGATCATTTGCAAAACCAAATAAATGGTTAGATCTGTTCTAGGAGGAACATTACTATGGTACTCACTTTTGCAATAAATGTACAAGAATGTAAAATAGATGAAAGCCCTTTAAATATCAAAGAATTAGATTTTCAATTGAGTCAAGTACTACATGAGCAAAAAGAAAATACTCTCTAATGACAGGAAAGACGGAAGTATTGCTTGTATGTTTTCAGTGACTAATTGCTGTTAACAGGCATAAATACTAATTTTACTTATAAAATGAAATAATTGTTTGGTTCCTACCACTTTACTTCTCATAACTAAGAAAGCCGATAAGTTCTAATACCCCTCATCTAGTTCTAAAGTGACACAGGAATTTTTCATCTTGAAAATAAAATTTTTACTTGATCATATTATTTATTGACTAGGAAACTCAATGGCTAATAAGTGGAGATTTCTGAATTTTTGCAGCACTCCAGTATCACTACAGTGATACTATGAATTGCAAAAATGAAAATAAAATTATATACTTCAAAAGTAATGTATCAGATACACACGTGCTTAGAAATATATGAGAGAATATGTGGCCTCTTTTCTTTCATAAGTAAATACACCTTTTAGAATTATAACTAGAAACAGAAGTGCTGACTCATTAAAAGATGCCTCCTGCTGTCATATTAAAGGTAGTCATAGACTTAGTAACCAAAGTATGGGAAAACACCAGTTTTCTCCACTGAAAGAAGAAAGGGAAATGAGTTTTAGGTATGTATATGCATACCTTTACGTACATATTTTTTACTGTATATAATCTGAAACAATTATTTTGGCTATGGGAAGTTAAACATTTTACAAGTATCCCCAGTTGTACTCATATTTTGGCTAAAAGACAGAACAGTCTTTTACTGCAGTACTATGCAATAGCTAATAACGAGAAAAACAATTACCTAGTGATAACAAGCAAAGTCCCAATATAATTTCTTTGCTGGTCATTACTCCACTAATCAGCCTGTGTAAGACACTATTGTCACTGACAAAGGTGATCAGGGCCTCTGCAAACTTGGCATAGCAGGAAATGTTCACAGGAGCACAGCGATGGAAGAATGGAATAGGTGCACTGGTGACACAAGAAAAAAAAATCAGAAAAAAAATTACTCCTACTTAATATAAATGCCACATCAAACACACAAATGAAAGGTGAATATGGCTGCAATACACTCCACCCTCCACACATCATTATGGGAGCTAAGAGCTGTGTGCTTAATGCTATGAAGATGACTGTCATGAGTAGTGATGCAAATCTTACCACAAGCCTTATTAAAAGAGGGTGGAGTGCATGTTCCAACAGAAGACATTACCCTCCCCTTCTGCAAAGAAATGCACACATACATATACATACACAGAACCACCAGAAGCAAAATCAAACACTTCAACTCCTCTACCAGTCAAAGGGCAGATGACAAAATTTACAAACATATACTTCACTGAACTGAAAATGAATTTGTATCATAAGCAATTTAAAAGGAAAAAACATTTGAAATATGCTGCCATTAACACACTATTTCCTTTAAAAAACAGCGTACAAAACTTGAGATCAATAAAGGTATTAAGGGCCCAAGTTTATTACCTCTCATATAAACAAAGTCATGCCAACAACGTAAGTATAATATACAGCTACTTAAAAGTAACTATGAATACTAATACAGGGAAATGCTTTTAATATAGGAATATGATGCCGGCATCTCTGCATAACAATTAGATATATACGAATGGCAACAAAAGAAAATTTAAAGAGTAAAGAAATCTGGCTTATTAGGGTCATGAGATTCTGGACTATTTTCTTTTCCTTTTATACATATGTGTCCAAAAATGGGGGGAAATAACTAAATACTTAATCATTTAAATTTAGTCCAGTTTTGTCTTGTGAAGGAACACAGGCATGTGTGACCTCCGACATAAATCTGGTTTGTAATAAAAACATGGTTTAACTCAAACTTCTGAGAGGATAATACATATCAAATCAATAACAGAATCTGAAACAAAGGACTATGAATATGCCTTTAGTTATGATGCCAGGATTCTAAGAGTCCCTATGTTTATCCATGCACAAATACTTAACATGTGAATTAAGTTAAAATCTAGCCATCATTAACATGAATCCTGCGTTTCCAGAATTGTTCAAAGAACTATCAGTGACAGGTGTAACATTTTTTATTGGAATGTCGTGTGTTCTTAGTCTTAGTTGGCACTACATTTTGGTCTAATTAGTGGATAAATTGCATGGTTGGGTACCAAATTCCTAAGTTTCTAACATCAGCAAACAATTATGTATAACATAAAGCAAAACACTTTGTTTCCTTTCTCAAAAAACACTTCTTTTCAAATAAGTAAACTATGCATCAATTTTCCTTAAACGATAATGAATGAGCACCAATGGTTGTAAGAATAAGCAACAACTTCCACGCTGTTATAATTCATGAAACAAAATAATTTTAAAGATGTAGCTTACCTCAGTTATGCCTCAGTGGGATGTATCAAAAAATGATTTAACAATATGATACAAATAATTCATTTTAAAAAATCTCTTGTGTCCCTCAGTGTGTATTTATACATACCTCCAAAATAGTAATAGTGAAACTTAATGCTGAATTTTTAGAAATTACAGGAAGCCAAAGCATTCTGAGCAAGGTTTGAATTAAAAGAATGAGAATGACTGTTTTTGATGAAAAATTATTTAATAGTGTAAAAAATTAAATTATATAACACTTAAGTGAAATTTATTTAGCTAAAAATATTACAATAATAAAAAAGGATTAACTATTTCAAGTGAAGGAAAGCTGATTTAGAACAGAAGTGACTGAATGGACAATTTTGTTCCTTCTTACAACTTTCTTTTCTGATGTTGTTTCTGCCAAAATAATGCTTTCAAGGACATATTTTAAACTACAGTGTGGCTATCTTCCAAACTAAAATCCTCTCTGCTCCATAATAATATGTATCCTCATCCTCTGTATATGTTACCCTGTCATCTCTGAAGTAGCCGCTGCTTAAACTCACTTACCTCTAACCTTGAATATAAAATGTTTCCACCTGAAGGATACTGCTGTTCTTTTCTTGTTTACAGTACCCACTAATTTTCTTATTCTTGCTCCCTTGCTTCCTTTTTCCTATTCAATAACCATAAAAATTTAAATTTTCCTAACATTTCATAGCTGTATGTTGCTCTGTCTTGCTTTCTCAATTTGTTCATCTGTTATTAAAGCACAAGAATAAGTACTACTTTGTAAGCCTCTTTTAAATTAACACCTCCACTACACCTCCACCACCACCACCACCACCATCATCATCATAGAGCATGCCCATAAATTAGCAACTCTAGATTATTTAGGAACAGCATAACCAGTATATTCAGCGTTCTCTGCTTTTCTAACTTAGGATGAGTGTAGTGGATTAGACAAGGGAAGAATGATATTCTCAAAATTCTAACCTTTTATTTTAAACCTTATATTTGTTTAATTTGTTTTGCCAAAGAAACACAGTGAAAACTTTAGTCTAATTGTACAGAAAGCAGAATTTATAACCAGTAGCAAACATAAAAGGATAAACCTAAGCCCCTGGCAAGCTGGAAATCCATGAGGAGGTGACCCAGATCCCCTCATAAGTGGCTTCCTGGGTAGGGAGATCCTAAGAGGAAGAGGCACAATCTAATCCTTCATTTTTATCTAGGAGGAAACACTGAGTAATATCTGCTCTGACCTTATCCTTTCAAGATAAATATAAACATTTGCCCAACTGTAAAGAATACTTTTTATAAGTATCCTTCAAAAAAACTGGGGCAAAATAACAATAATCTTTTATCGTATAGTTTAACCTATGTCACTTTAAAAAACCTGACAGCTCTAAATTTAAATGTATAAAATTAGCACAAGTTGATTAACTGCATTGTCTAGCTCATAGTTAAAATCTCCTCTTAATACTAACCAAAAATATAGAAGGCAAATAAGAGATAATATTCATATATATTATTAAAAAATAAAATTAAACACTAAGCTTTAAAGTAAAAAAAAAAAATCATTAGATTCCCTTGTCTGTCATTCTTTTTCTCAACTCCCCAAATAAAAACTCTACCAGCCATATTTTTTGATACATGAACTATTTTGGTTTTGTTCTTATTCTTTTCTTTTTTTTCTTTTTGTGTGTGTACGCTGGTAAATGAACTCAGGACTTTGTGTATGTATCCTACCACTGAGTAGATTCCTAGCCCCTTGAATTATTTTCTGATTTGTAAAAACTAAACAATATGGCCCTGAAATGATTTGTCTTATGTTTTATCATTTAAATACCATCTGATATAATGAATTTAAAATGAATTAGTTGATTTTGTACACTTCTGAGAAAATGATAACCTATTATGAGATCATTTCTATTTTAGTATCTAACCTAAATAAAACATTCTGTGCTTCTTAATTATGAGACAGGTATTCTATTTATAGTAAATCTTTCTATCTTTCAAAGCCCACAGAACAGTGAATCTTTAAGAAGTCAATGAAGTCCCATTAGGAACTGATGATGTTTCATATTACTGAAACAGTCAACAAGAACAAAATGAATTTATAATGTCTTTTAAGGATTTTTAAAAATCTCTACCGTTGGTAGGCAAATTGTATCTTACCTTGGCAAACACACTGTCCATTTGCCTTGAAGTCCAGATTATCACAGTTAATGAGCTCCCTAAAGTATAACAAATGGTGCCTAAGATCTCTTGTCCATATGCCTTCATAAGAGAAGGCAGAAGCCTACATTTAATAAAATTATTTTAGAATTTTGGGTTAAAAATAAACAACTACACATGACTTCCACAGCGAAAAGTTTATTTATGAAAGAATACCAATTAAGGTCTCTAACAAGATCTTTATACCATACAAAAGGAAGGGAACAAGTAAGTCAAGAAGGTGAGACCTAATGAAAATACAGAGTGGTTTTCATGCATTTTATCTCATGCCATTTTTCTCTTTCATTCACTCCCGTACTCAAAAACAAAACATCCCACTAACCGTGGTACAGACTCTATAAGATCCTGGATTCAAAAATGATTAGTTGTGTAGCCCTAGATCACTTATCCTCTCATTTTCCATTTCCTCATTTACAAATCAGGGGCAATATCTGTACCAATTTTCTGAGGTTAAATGAGATAATACATTAAGAAACTTAGCCTGCTGCCTGGCACACAATGATGATTTGAGACTCTTCCATTTAAAACATTGGAATATTTAACTTTTTTTTCTTGGTTATTCACTTCTTACTTCCCTATCCTATTATTAACTCCCCAGCATCTAGTAACTTTGTTATTATCCAGAGGTACCCAAATAAATAGTGAATGGTATAAATTTATTATGTAATCTGGTGCTGTTTTCTCTAGCTATACATAATAGCCTGTAAACATACAGCTAGCTATTCTCAATATTGCTACCACACTTGGCATTTTACCAAGAGACACATGAATTTGCATAAAATATTGTTCTTTCTAGGCATTTGCTTTTAAAATTCTTAGAAAGAGTAACCATTTGGCTGTTATGTGTCATTAGTATTTTATTGCAAATTAGTTCATAATTGCTTTCTCTACAATAGGTACAGCCTTTAGCTGCAGATCTCTGGGTACCCAGGAAGGCTGGGGCAAAGGAACAGCTTTACAAGCTTAGAGAAATGATACTTCCTACACAAGATTCCCTGCACAATAATGGATATATAACACCTATTATCTAAGTCTTAAAACAGTTCGATGAGAGAAAGTATGAATATTCCCATTTTACACGAGGAAACTTGATTTAAAGAGGTTGAGAGATTCCTTTAAACTGACCAAAAAAGTGGTGATTTGGAATTCAGTCCCAGAATTATCTGGGCTCAAAGTACTCTGTCGATGCTCTTAGCATAGCAAAAGAGATGTAAAAGATACTGAGGGCCACTTGTTTGCATCACAAAGGCCTGGTGCCTTTTTTTTTTTTTAAATCATCTTTTAAAAAAAAAAGTTAACAGGAATCTACTAGACTATGAGTCCAGGTAAGGATATGGTTCAGCTCTTAGTCATCTTTGGAGACTTGATATCTATATGTGGAAGAGGGTGATACCCAAGTTTTTTTAATTAAAACAAAATTATTCTTGTTCTCATATCCTTTCATTTTGTTTGCTAAATACTTACTTATAAGGTTCAAATTTACCTTCCTGTTATTAACTGTTTACTTCTGAATAAGCTTAGTTCAGACAAGCGATAAGGCTACTTCTATTGGGAGGTAAAACAAGGAAAACCTAAGAAGCTTTAAGCACAATATAAACATGGTGTATAGTCACTTTTCAGATAGTATAGGTTTAGTATTTCATTTCATATAAGTGAGACAGATGAAGACCTTGTTAAATGTAGTCTGTCCATCTATAATGCAACCTTAATACTATGCTTTGTCTTCTAGTAAACGTCCTTTGGATTCTGTGAGAGGTGTGTGTATAGCCAGGACCACTATACCCAAGAGGAGCAGAAACAAGCAGTGCTCTACATGGTGTAGTCAAAGGCCAGAGGGAGGAAGTATGAGCCAAGCCACCTTCCCTAATCCAGTCTCACCTATAACTATACAGGAACAGAACAACCTCATTCTCCAACTCAAGCTTTCTGTTTATCCTTTCATGTGTTCTGCCCTTGAGAGAATGATTCTATACTCAAAGTGTTTATTTCAAACAGACTTAGCAGATGGGCAGATATATGTGTAGAACTTTTCTTATTTTTCTATCAATATTCTTCAATGACTATTGAAAGGACCTCCTTTGCTTGACTGTTACAACCTCCTTAAGAATCTTACTTATCATGAATGAGATCTCCTTACTTGTGGATTTATGGCCGTAATTTTTAGGTCTCTCTCTTAGTGAGTATCTTTTAAAATAGTCTCTTTACTTTTATGCCTAAAGGCTTTTAAATTTCAATTTTAAATAGCAACTTGACAAGACTAAAAGAGCTAGAAATCAATTTAACTTATATATCCTTTTTCTAATTTCCAACAGAAAATTTCAAATTCCACTAAAAGCATGAATTATAGCCATAAGTAATCCTACAGAAAGTAGACCTTTGTGTTTTCATATCTCAAAAATTTTTACTCAGCAGGTCATTATTACTTATTGAGATACAATGTATTGACTTAAGAGTCAGTTTTTCTCCAGAAGTTTCTTTATGTCATATAGTTAGCAATAAATACAGAGGTTCTCAAGATCAGACATACTGCCGGGCTGGGGATAAGGCACTCAGCAATAAAGCACTTGCCTAGCATGCATGAGGGCACAGGTTTGGTCCCTAGCACTATGAGTAAAAAACAAAGAAACACGGTGAGCCAGGAATAGTGGTGCAGGCCTATAATCCCAGCAGTTGGGAGGCTGAGGCAAAAGAACTGCAAGTTCGAAGCTAGCCTGGGCTACAATAATGAGACGCCGTCTCAGAAAAAAAAAAAAAAAAAAAAACCCAAAAGATCAGACATATTCCCACATGTGGATATGTGCTGCACACACACCCACCCAAACATACACATACATAACTCTGAGGATATATTATAAAATGCTTAAAACCTGTAATTTTAAAATTTGCTTGACTTATAATTACTATGTGATCCAAAGATTTGTTTCATCTTTATATCCACTGTACTCCGTAAGCATTTAATAAGAAATGTTGAGTAAGATGTTAGATAACAGTCTAATACAAACAATGTGCCTAAAGGATATAATCTGAAACAACCTATGAAGAATAATCACTGCTATACTTTTTAAATATACATAGTAAATTAAAAAATAATTCTGATATCACTAGGATTGACTTCAACGAATCTTTGGGGCCATGAGACTTGGTTTTTTTTTTTAAGACTTGGTTTATAAGTTTGTTGAAGGTTTGATAATGATTTGGCAGTTTTGTATACTTAAATATAATGGCATGGAAATAAAAACAAATAAAAGCAAGCCCTTAAAATTTTAAAAAAATGTTAGAACAAGAAAAATTGCCTGTGTATGCTTTTAAAAGGTAAAAATATATATTTATTGTCCTATCTATTCTTACTTTTTAAATTTTACTATATAAGTACTGGACCTGAGTGATAGGCATCATTGACTATTTTCTCAGTATAGTATGTGCAGTGTAAAATTTACCTATGAAAACAGAAGTTACAAGTTAACAGCTTAGCAATAAAATTTACCTCGCTGGAACTGGTAGTTTGGGGCACAGATCAGAAGATTTAAGAGATACAGTATATTCAGAAGGCTTTAGGTTGTAGCTACATAGTGCTGAGCCTGTAGAAAGAAAAACTTCATGTTAGCTGACAGAACAGAGTCGGGACAAATTCTCGTACTGGTTCACTTTAATTTGTTAATATGTTAATATCAACATATATAACTGTCAAACATAGAATTAATAAGAATCTGGTTTGATCTACATCATCATAAGTCCTAAATCACTTAAAACTGATTCTTTTTAGAAATTACTGATAATGTACAAATTTTAATGTTAAAGATAATAACACAAAGTACTAAAAGTACTTTACTGAGTGTCTGCCATATGTCAAGTTTTATACAAGATGACACATATATACGTCATTTACTGTAACTCTATAAGGCAGGTACTATTAGGCTTAACTATTTGGAGGAAATAAAGGGCCAGGATTTAGCTCAGTGGTGCTGCCACCTGCCTCACAAGTACAAGGTCCCAAGTTCAATCCCTGGTACCAAAAAAAAAAAAAAAAAAAAAAAA